TTGAATATTAGTATATAAAATTTGTTGAGTGTAGCCATCATTAGTTCATCAAGATAGGTACCATTATAGGTCATTAATAAACTCCCTAACTTTAACATCTGTGTCATAATCAAACCAATAAATGACAATATTGCCAAACTTCTTAACTAGGGATTCTCCATTTAATTAAGGTAATAAAAGAAGAAAAGAGTAGATATTACGATTGGACTGTTGAATATTAGTATCTAAAATTTATTTAGTGTAGCCATCATTAGTCCCACAACGAAAGAGTGTCGTTGTTAAACAATTTCTGATTAGTTTTGAATTTGCTGGTATGAAGAGAATCAAGAAAGGGCAAGCCAATATAATACCATCATATTTCTTAGGGAGAAGTAGTTTTCTAAGAAATTATATGTAATTTATTGTTATCCCCATTGCAATATCAGAAGTTATTAATGAGACTAGTAATTTTTCTTTCAAGCCACTTGGGAATGATTATTTTTGATATTTAGGCCAATTAAGACAAATTCACACATACATCGCATACACAAAAACTCGAATCCAAAACTTGTTAGTTGGTAGCCTAAGCTCTCAACCAACAGACCAAGATGAGCTGTGTGATTATATATATATATATTAAAGATAGTTCCAAATTATAGATCTGACCAATTGGAACCAGCCAGCGAATGAAATGATAATTTTCTTGCATCCCTAAATTAATATTGGGAGGTTTAGTTTTTCCACAATTTTATAAGTGTTATTGGCTTTGATTTAGGATGACGTAAGGGTTATACTAGGATAATTTCAAGATAGAGGCACTAAATATATATCAAGGTGAGCACTCAAATGATCTTATAGTTGGGAGTTACGATTTAGATTAACAAAATAGATGACTTATTCATAGAGGTGTAAACTAGTCGAGTCGAGTTGAGCTTTGGCACTATCAAGCTTTGCACATCAGTCAGAAAGCGAGCTCGAGCTCGAACAAGAGCTCATCCCACTATAAATTAGCTTGAGTCAGCTTGACCGGATTTTTTAAATATTATTAATTATTTTAAATGTTTATTAAATATTTTAAACATATGGTTATTATTCATATTTTTTTCGTTTGGGGAGTTTACATCACAGTTATCCGTGAAGGTAAGATCTTTCCTCATAATTTCTCTTTTCTTTTTCAATTTGCATATTTTGTTCTTTTTTGTTGGTTTGGCAAATTAATGAAGTCCCTGCACTGTTTTTTCTATGTTTCGTTTTTAGGGCTGTTTGGCAACAAGCAGGATTTATCTCAAATAGGATTTAGTAAATTCTGTAAATCCGAATTTAACAAATTCCGATGATGTTAAATACTGAAAATTATTTGGCATGCCATATATTAAACCATGTTAAATCCTGACAAACAAATAAAAAACTTTATTTTTTTTCCACATTATTTCATGCACACTTGAGGGCATACTCTTACAATTGCATTTGTCAATATAGAGCTATGAATCTATGATACAGACTAAGAAGATCACGAACAAGAAAGTTTTTGGTCGTGTATGCGCATTCATATGCTTTTGTCGTAGGCGAGGATCAAACCCAAGACATTGACAATAACATCCAAAGTCCTTAGTCCTTACCAAATAGCACTCATAAGATATACAAGGTGCACGATATATATAGAGGCTTTTTTCCTATGGATTGTATATGGAAAATTTTTACTCTCTTTCTTTATCAATATATATATGTATATACATATATTATACAAAGATACCAAAGTTTAATCAATACTGTTCATCTTGAAATGCATCCTTATATGTTGTTAGGAACTACAGTTTAGTACATTTTAATTCCATTTGGTTTTTAATTAATTGAATTCAATGTTTTATTGATGAAAGGCCTAGATAGTTTGGCACAACATTCATTTACAAGTTGATTGATGTGTTTATTAAAAAATCCTTCAGTACTTGTTTGCAAAAGATGATTTTTAGAACTTTTAGGAGACCGACATGTTCGCTTGCATGTTGATCATGTCTGTAAGTTTTCCACCACGAGTCCCCTGCTCATTTGTTGATTTTTATTTGGATGACAACGTTCGCTAGCTAGTGTTTACATTTTCAGTGCAATTGTGCATTTATTAGTTCAAGGTTCAGTTCCCTGCTAATTCGTTGATTTTTGCATTTGAGTTGGCATGATAGCTCTTATGATATTGATTGAAGTACTTGTGTTGTTGATTGCATGTTATTACACTTCTCATTAATGATTGCTTATATGATTCATTTTCATTTTGCAAGTTACAAGTCTTATTTTAAATTAAAGGTCATGTTCCCTTTTATTGCAAGTTTGGTTCCCCTGGTGATTGTTCAAGTCCCTTGTATCTTGTATAAGTTCCATGTTTATTAAAAAAATCCGTCGGCCTCCCGACATCTCTCCCGTTTAGGGAAAATTTTAGAAGTTAGGCATTTATGTCATGCTAGAGAAAAGCATGTTCGATAGGTGCCGGATGACACCATGACCATAGTTTTCGATCCCACTACGCCAAAGAAAAGACGTGTGTGGGTCTTTATGGTTACCTATTTGAAACGCACAGTTCTTTCCCTACCGACATTGAGGCTCACACGGGTACTTAAATTTTACCCTGTCATGCTAGAGAAAAGCCTGTACGGGGCCTGCCAGTCTCACTGCAAGCACCGCATTGGGTTCACTCTCATCACGCTACAGAAAAAAGTGTATAAGTGATTTTTCAGGGCGATGCGAGCGCTGAAAACGAGGTTTGAAACATTATGGCCTGCGAGCGAGTCAATGGAGGTGTCAAGGGCACAGGGAAATGAAATAAAAATAAAAATAAAAAGCATAAAATTCATTCCTCTCGTTCTTCCCCTTTTTTCTCTTTTTTATAGATAATAATGCCTATTTGAAATGCTTCAATTTACGTTTGGGTTTGTCAGTTTGGGCTTGGTTGTCTCGAATTTAGTTCATTTAGAGGTTGTTGTTTGGTGAGCAAAATTCTCTAAAAACCTGAGGGTTTCTTCTTGGGAAACTTGTTGTTGTTTGACAACTTTAGTTTGGAGAACACTTTGGTCTAAGTTGAGAACTACTCTTCAATTTAGTAGTGCTTATCATCGACAAACCGATAAACAAACTGAAGTTGTCAATCGAAGTTTAGGGAATTTACTTAGATGTCTTGCTGGTGAGAAACATTCCTAATGGGATTTGATCCTACCCCAAGTTGAGTTTGCCTATAACAATTCTATTAATCGATCCACTGAAAAAACTCTTTTTGAAATTATTTATAGTTAGTTCATTCCTCACCTTTTTGATAGATCTTGTTTACCCTTGCCTAACAAAATAAGTGTTGAAGCCACATAAATTGTTGATCATATTAAATCAATCCAACAACAAGTCCTCGAAAAACTTCGTATGACAAATATTAAATACAAATTTGTTGCTAACAAACACCGGAGGTAATTTTATTTAAAAGGGGTGATTTGGTTATGGCCTAATTTTATCGTCAACTTTTTCCTGTTGGCACTTTTGGCAAGGTAAGCCGAAATAAATTTGGACCTTTTCATGTTCTGCAAAAATTGGGCACGAATGCCTATCTCATGGATCTTCCTATCACTGTTGGAACTTCTCCTGTATTTAATGTTTCTGACCTTTTTTGTATGAAGGAAATTCAGATGATTCTGTAGAAGTTGAGATTTTACCAGTTTCCAATTTCGTTCTAGGCAGGGATGATCAAATTGAAGATGTTCTTGATATCATGACTACTCAAACTAAATATGGAGAGCACAAAAGGTTCTTGGTTAAATGAAACAACCGCCCGTTGACTGATTGTACATGGATGGATACGGTGGAGCTAAAAAATCGTCATCCGAATCTCTATCAAAGAGTTGTTGAAACATTCTCATCATGAGATGAGATTCTCCCACCATGGGGGAATTGATGCATGCAAATTTCAATTTTTTTTGTTTTATTGTAATATGAATGCTATTTTTTTTTTATGCTACCCTACGATGGAAGGCAACCTATGATCATGAGTAGGTGGTGCTTTGGACATGTTTTTACTTTGGGTGTGCTAGCTTCTTTGGTGTCTTGGCTCTTGGGCTAATTTGGGTTCCTTGGTTTGGGCTTGGTCCAAGAAGAAACTCTCGAGCTTTTAGAGAACTTTGCTCACCAAACAACAACCTTTTAATGCTTCAAAATATCTCATATATATAGGTGAAAAGAGAAAGCCAAACAGCCCCAACCACCTCCAGCCGAACCAACTATAAAAAGGGAGCCAAAAGACCAACATGCAACGCCTGGAATAACACCCGAAGGGACCACGCGGGGGACAGGAACGGACAACCACGGGAACAGGAACAACCAGCCACGGGAATAGGACTAGGGGGAGAAACCGAAAGGCCAACAGAGAGGAGAAGAACAAGGACATCCAATTTATGAGCTTAAAAGGCATTCCACTTATCATAATGAGCTGAATTTAGAAGAAGAACACAGCAGCTCACCAAAAGGGACAGCTAAACCTGAGATAACCAAGCCCAAACCGAGAAACCCAAATTAGCCTAAGAGCCAATGCACCAAAGAAGCTTGCACACCCAAAGTAAAACATGCCCAAAACACCACCTACTCATGATCATAAGTTACCTTCCATCATAGGGTAGCATAAATAAAAAATAAAAATAAATATAGCATTCATATTATAATAAAACTAAAATAAATTGAAATTTGCATGCATAAAGCTTCAGGCTCTTTCTCATGAAACAATAAATCAAAAGCTTCCATCTCTTTCATACATCCATTTAGATTTCGTTTGTGACATCTTTTTTATTACTTTATAAAACTATTTTTTAGGACGAAAATTTCTTGAAAATAAAAAAAACTAAATAGTCTAAAGCTGCCCAAATGAAATCTTAGACTTCATTCGGGACGACTTTTTTATTGCTTCTTAAAATAGAGTTTTAGTACAAAAATTTTAAGAAGCAATAAAAAAATCGTCCCGAACGAAGCCTTAGTCAGACTGGAAGAAAACAACACAGACATTACAAAGAACGAAGGTTCTTTTAAATAGACATAACATCCCAGCTAAATGATTCATTTTACAATCATAATTTGCAATATCAGACCTGCTAAAATACATAATAATGAAAACAAAATAAGAATAAGAATAAAAATAAAAAGATGGACGTTCTTCCAAATAGAAAGCGACTGAGCAACTGACACAAATTTCTTAGAAAAGTGAAGGACATAACCAACCGAGAAGCCCACCTAGAAAAATGGAGGAAGTATCACCCATCGCCGTGGATACTTTGGTCTTCCTTCCTTTCCATCAAACAACTGCAAGGACAATGGCAGTAGTAAGAACAAAAGCAAGCTAATATTCTATTAACATAAAGAAATTTTTGGTATCAAAATATTCTGATACAATACAACTGTAGGGATGGCGTATTTCAGTGCTGAAATCAGTTGCTAAGCTTTCCTAGTAACATAAAAGAAATAACTAAATGTGGCTTATGGCCAAAGTAGGCTATGTTTTTTATTGAAGAGTCCAACTTACGCTTCGTTTGGATGACTTTCTTACTGCTTCTTAGCAACTTTCAAATATAAAAATTTAATTTTTAAACTAGAAAACTGTTTTAAAAACCAATAAAAAAAGCCGTCCCAAACGAAGCCTTAAACAAAATTATTACCATAAATTAGAATAAGTACTTCACAGCAATCAATGGAATAATGATTCATAAAATAACCTCAAGTCATGGGGATAAGGCTAATGATGATGACATCTGGATTTAACTAAAGCATATTAATTTGCTAATTTGAAGGACCAACAACAACAACAACATCAAGCATTTGTCCCACTACGTGGGGTCGGCTATATGAATCCTTTTTCGCCATTGTGTTCGGTTACAAGTCAAATTCTCATTTAAATCTAATAAAGAAAGATCATTTCTAATATTTTCTAACCAAGCCTTTTTAGGTGTCTCTACCTTTCTTAATATAAGTCAAATCTAATACCCAACTTTCCTAACCGGGTCATCGGGAGGCCTTCGTTTAATGTTACCAAACCATCTAAAGACAACTCTCTCTAATTTGAAGGACCATAGTAGCAAAAATATAATTTGATAGGCCATGATAGTTTTGTTTAAGATTCAAGGAGAAAATTATAATTCAACTACAAAAAGCTATTGAACCTCACCTTCTTCAACCTGCGGTGTTTTCCCAAGGCCCAATTAGACATAATAACGAAAGCAGCTAAAAGAAACAAGTAACCAGCCACCGTTTGAGTAGCAATATTAAATCCAATCCACTGGTAGATCTCCGTAGTGTAGTTTGCACATGTGACGATGTTAAACAAGAAGCCACGAGGGATTTGATAACCTCCGCTGCCATCAGGACTTCTGAGATTCTTCAAAATAATATGGCAGTAAAAGTTTGAGACTTGGCAGAGTAAGCCAAAACCAAAACCAATCTTCCACTGCAATTCATTCACAGGAGTGTAAAGTGGGTGGTTAACATAGTAAGCAATGTATGTCCCAAAAGACCAGTAATAGGCACAGTTTCTGAACACGTTGGAGAGGGGCGAAGTAGCATGGCTGAATCTATGGACAAAGAAAGTCTCCATGATCCGTTTGAAGTAATGGAAGCACCAGTAATACATGGCATAAGTTTGAACAGGATGGACCACTCGCTTTTCCTCATAACCAAAATATTTATAAACTGGGAAGAAGTAAAAGATTGGATAGATGACTAGAGGGCCCAAGTATTCAAAAAAGAAGAGTGTTCTATATGACACTTGTGGACCCAAATCCTTGAAAATAATTGTCAAACTTTTTGCATTTCCATCAGAATAATCTGAAAGGTTCTTTGCAGAACTGAGTACAACTGGTTTTCTGCGTTCTCCAGGCGGTAAAGGGAGAGTAAGACGCTGCCTAGCAGGATAAAGCTTTTTGACTGCAACACATGAGCGAATGCCATGTTAACCAATAAATTTGAGAAAATTTGTGCAATAACGATAAATATGGAAACAAACATAAAATTTCAAGGGGTTGTTTGATTCGTTGACATCTATTGTATGATGCTATACTACTAGGTGATATTAACTATTTGATTTGACAGTATCATTAAACAAAAATTTCCTAAATGATAGATCATAATTCGCTGACATTTTGATAATTGTTATCAAATAGTGTATTCTAGCTATTAGGTAATCAAATGATAAAAAAAAAACACAGAAATATATGTGCAATGATAAATAAAATGAATATTTTCATCATGGAAAAGGATAGTAGAGTAATGATGAAAATAATTAAAATAAAATTATGACAGCTTTTTTTTACATGATACTGTAAGATGAATAGCAGACAAGAATAAGAAAAGCTTCGGTGTATAGGAAAATGCTTCGTTAGAAACACTGAAAGCACCATAAATGCATAGGACATGCAGTAGCTTATGCATTCTTAAGAAAAACAAAAAATACAGAACAGTAATGAGAACCTATTGTGCAAGAAAATCGATAGTTTAGGATTTAAACTTTGATATTCGGGTATGAGTCGTACTAGAAATGGTGTAGGTGTCATTATAGATAAGAGTTTAAAGGATAATGTTATAAAAATTAATAGGATTGGTGATAGAATTATAGCTTTAAAGATTGTTGTTGAGAATCACTTTTCTTGTTCAATATAGAGATGTTTTCATTATAGCATATTGTGATCACAGTAGGATCATCAAAAGATTGAAGGCTTAGAGTCAAATGAGGAATAGCAAGTTTTAAACTGAGACTAGAAAACTAATTACCATGGAAATTTGTCATTCAAATTGGAATTTTCTTCACTTCTTTATGGCAAAACAAGCATTTCATATAGATGGTCTGGATGAGGATCAGTTTTAGGGCTTTCTAAATAGGATGAAATCACCAAAAGCTGCGGAGTAGGAAATGTTGCATCTTGGAATGATAACTTCGGTACAACTGATATTGTACCTCAGGTTCAATGTTGGTGTAATTTCTGCACTTCCATGGACTTGTTTTGTATAATGTAATCAAGTTGTTTATTTTCTTACTGTCCTTACTAACGAGGGCATAAAAAATGGAGTTAATTTGCCTATTGCAACTGTTTCCTTTATCCAACAAAGTTAAATACTTACTAAAAAACAACAATAACAATAACAAGTAGTCTTTATCCCACTAATGTGTGATTGGTTACATGAATCATTTTCTCTATGGTGTCCTATTAAGAATCAAATTCTCATGGATATATTGAATTTCAAATACATGTGACTTTAAATGATTTTTAATCAAGAAATTACAGGATGGTCATTCCAAAATGGACCACTCATAACCATATTCCTTCCATATAAATGCAAAAAAAAAAAACACTCTAATATGTGCATGCTATTTGGCGATCCCTGCCCTACATTTTCATTAGTTAATCCACTTAAATTTGATTGTTAGAAGCTTTAACAAAAAGGAAAAAAAGGTCAGGAAAAAAGCTAGTAGCTTTAAGGAAGTGAGTGTATTGGATTTGGTTATTCATCACATAGTTGAAAGATATGCTAGTGTGGGAATACCAACCACAATAGCTTTTAGGTTGAATAAAAGTTTAACACCTTGTTTCTTTATCATCCACCCTCTTATTAATTTCTCAAAATAATTTGAGGTAGTGTTCTATTATAGGTAGAAAAAAATAGTGCTAACAGATTTATGCTCAATTCATCTGTTTAATATCCAATCAGATTGTAAATATGGTTTGTAATTCTATTTCAAATATATACTTTGAGCAATGTTATCCCTTTTCAATTGGTCATCTCCTTAAATAAAAGGAGAACAAAGAAAATGTGTTTAGAAAGAAACATGGTTCAAAGTATTTTTCACCTCTCTCTTAAAAGTTGATTGAAAATAAGCAGAAGTTGATTGACATTCATCTGGGATAGCTTTAAGACTGTTTTTGCGATAATAAAATCAACCAACAAAAATAGCGTGCTGTGGTTAAGAAAGTAACTTCTACAAAAGTCCTAACAGAGAAAAGTATATATAGCCTCAAGTGAAGCCAAGAGTGTTTAGTCACAGTTTGGAGTGAAATTATTCGGTGTGGATCCTGAACGTCATCTAGAGACCAACCAAAATGCGCCACGTCGTCGGCTCGGTACAGCTAGGTACCCAGCTCAGTACCGATGGCCTATTCTGATTAGTCTCTGAACACAATGAACTGGTTCGGCTCTGCACAGAATAATCTCTTCACTCTCAATGCTTCATAAATGTTTGCCATAATTTCCGCCTTATCTACTAACCAAACGCGGCCTAAAATCGTACTTTTCAGCAATTAAGTCCTAATATTTTATTCCATAAGTAAGTAATCATAGCCAACCAAACAAGAAGATATTCAAACAAATGGGAAGATTAACCAGACAAAGCCCAAAAATTTACCCACGAAATTTCGTTGACCGCAACCCACAAGAACCGAGAGACGTTGCTCTTTAAAATAAGAAAGAAGGTTAAGCACTTACTCCGTGAGTGAATCGCCCGCTGCAGATCGCTCACGGTCGCCTGCAACCAAATCAAGCAATATAAATCTCAGATTCGCTTGAAAAAATCCCCCCTACAGGATACAATGATCGTCCCCCCGAACATTACAAGAGAACCATCAAACAAGTTTCGCGGACCCAAAATCAGCAATTTACTAAGCAAAATAATAACAAAAACCCATCTTTTCGCACCAAAAGAAACTATGTACAGAAGCCGACATACCGAAGCATCGAGCTCTATTCCACCCTTAATGATCTCTCTTCCGCTGCGAGAAACGACGGTGACCTTCATCTCGACTGGATCTGAAGCAGAGGCTACCTCGTTCAACAGATCGAACACCTTTCGATCCAGGCGCGCTTCTCAAGATATGGAACAGTGGAGGATTAAGATATCATTAATTATTCAGTGCTGTTCTCGCCGTGAATCTCCATATTTAATATAGATTTTAATGGCGATATGGCCTAAGCTTTCCTGATCGCAAGTTGGAAAGTTATGGCTTATAGTTGGGGAGGTAGGCGAGCTAACACCAGAAGAATTAATTATATATTGTACTTCTCTCACATATTCATATAATATGAAAAATAAAACTAATTTATGATATTCACTGCTTAATCTTCGTACTCAGGTGATGATTTTATATAATTGAGAGAACATTTGAACTGAATATTTTAATTTAAATTTAATAAAGCAATATAATATATAATTAATTAATTATAATATCTGCTTACTCAATAATTATGCTTTAAATTAAATAATTAATTAAAATAAAATGCTCTTTAATGCGGATTATTCAATTATTAGGATTTAAAAATAGCTTTTTTAAAACATAGCAAAAAAAAAAGTCAAATAACGAAGCCAAACTTTATCCTCAAAAAAAAAAAAAAAAAATAAAAATCATTGCCATACTCTTCTTTTTATTTTGTGAAATTATCTTGTGCTGAGAAACATTCTTTTATTGTGAGTGTAAACACACTATGTACATAATATACATAGTATACACATAATATACATAACATATATAGTGTACATCACATTTGAATACACATAATGTATATAGTTAGGGGTGTCAATTCGGGTCAACGGGTTAGGTTCAAGTCGAACCCGGAACTATTCGGGTCAACTCGAACCCGACCCGTTTTTTAAAACGGGTCAGGTTTCTGGACCAGAACCCGACCCGATTTGGGTCCGGGTCAACCCGACCCGACACGAATGACCCGAAGTTGACCTAATATTGCTAGTTTTCAGGTCAATCTTTGATTTTCGGGTCAAAACGGGTCAATCTCAGGTTTCCAAGTCAAATAGGAGTTTTCGTGTCAATTTCGGGTCATTTTCGGGTTGTTGGGTCAACCCGAACCCGACCCGATTTTTAAAACTGGTTGATTTGTTGAACCCGAACCCGACCCGTTTCAGGTCCGGGTTGATCCTAACCTGGATTTTTCCGGATCAGATTTGAGTCGTGTCAAAAATTGACACCCCAATATATAGTGTATGTGCACTCATATATTTTGATGGCTTCTCATCCAAACTCTGCACAAAATAATTTCTCTTCTTTTATCCTGAAATTTCTCCCAGCAAAACAAAAGCTCCACATTTTTAATTTAAAGCAAGAAGAAATAGACTAAAGGCCAAGTAATGCTTGAATTTTTTGATTTGATAAGGAGCAAATATGTCAACGATATATAAATACAACGAACAGCCAAAAATATTGCAGCAGCGTATAAGATTCAACTTGGATGGTAGAGAAGGTAGCTGTCCTAACATCATTCTTTGATTTCTTTCACAAACACTACTGTTTTTCATATATATTTATATATATATCTTTTAAATTTTAAGCTATCATTACAGTAAAAATACATTGAATCTTGTAAACACAAATAAGAGAAACTCCATTTTCAGTATTCATTTTATTCCATAGATATTTTCTAACGGCCAAATTTGCATATTTTCTTTGAATAGCTCTTATCTAAGCCCACATCACATAGATAAAAGTCATCTTGCTGAACAAATTAATTGACAGGATGGTGGCTGGCTCTTAAGATTGCAGCCATTGAAAGCTCTAGGAAAGTGCCATGACTTCTCTGGTTCTCTCTCATTCAACACCATCACTACTGTTTCTACTTCTGCTAGCTCATCTTCTTCATCAGATTTAGATATAGAGATCAGAGTATAAGAATCTACCCTTTTTTTTAATATTATCATTACAATATAATATCTAATTTTTCATCATTGAATTAACTTGCAAAACAAAAAGTTTATTGCTTCAGCATAACTCTTGCTAGCCTCATTGGCAGTACAGGTCTCTCAAGAAGAAGAAGAAGATGATGATGAAGATGGTGTTTAAAATAGAAAGTTGGAATAAAAATTGATTATTTTACTTCTGAAGGAAATTGATATAATTGTGTCTGACACCCATCATTAAAAACTTAGGTAATTAAAATTAATTATATTCAACATTCATTTATAATTAATGAAATGTGTAATTACAAGTTTTAGAATGTGTATTGGGACCTAATTAAACCAAGGTTTGTATTGGATAAGTGAAAATCTTGAGTTAGAAAATTGTTCTGCGGGCACCACATTGCTAGGGTAATTAGCATCTAGGCGTTGAGCTCTCAAGTTTTTAAAAGAAAATTAGGTTTTGTGTGTTAGCACTGCAACACCCTAGAAACACCATCAGGTCTTAGATGAGCATATTTTGTAGGACTCAGAAGATTCTCTAGTAGCATTGCGGTGCTGGGAAAATGAGCGTCACGGCGCTAAGTCAAAATAGTAGAAATATAATATATAAAATGTCTAAAATCATTTGCCCGTTCATTCCACCCCCAACCTTGTGAGAGAAGAAAGGAGAAGAAGAGGATGAGATGAGGAGAGAAGAAAGAGAAAGGGGGAGAGAGAGTTCAGAGGTCAAAACTCGAGATTCGCCTGTCGAGTTAGTCCAAGGAATTTTAAAGCTCAGGATAAGCTCCTAAACTGATATCTCTGATTATAATTTCAGTGATTTTATTAAAAGATATTAAAAACAATATTTTTCTTGAGTTTTATGAAGTTTTCACAGTGTAATTTTTTATTTATTATTGTACACATTATTATGGATAATTTGATTATATGAATTTAAATTTTCAATGGTGGGTTTCTTACACAAACTTTTAGTTGTATTATTGAATTGATGTTTTTTTTGAAAAGGTAATAGTTATATAAAATTCTGAAATATTCATGTGAATGTTTCTCTACAATTTGAAATTGAAAAGGAAAAGTTTAATGAGTAATTTATTTTATGATTAATGTGACATTTTACTGTCAATTCCCGCATCAGCTGAATATTGCATTAAATGCTTAATATATTTACTATTGCATTATATCACATTCTTGCATTACATGATATTGGAGATTCTATTATAAAAGATGGAAAAGTATACTCTTTGTTATGTTACAAGGGCCCTAAGATACTCTTATGATCTCATCTGCTTGATGTAGATGTGAGAGGGATTTTGGCCCCACTTAGTGAAAGCAGGTATGGGAGGTTAAATAACACTGCAAACTTTCTTCTAGCCTCATCTACATGATGAATATGGGGGAGAGATTTTGACCCCACTTACTATATGTAGGTGTGGGAGATATAAGTGTAAGTTGAGCTATAAGCAGACATCAGGACATGTGCATTATAATCCTTGCATTATATATATTAATGTTTAATGAATTAAACTTAAGAAATGTTGTGAAATGTGTGTTAGTAAACTCTAAATCTCTGAATGAATTTTGTTGGGAATGTGAAAGTGAAAGTGATATGCAAGTAAACCTTTCAAAGTAAGTATCATGTATTGCATCTGGAGACTTCTGCAAAAGTGGTTATGTGGTTATTGAAGTATTAATGTTAATTTTGAGATAGGGTATATATATTAGAACTTTGGTAAGTTTAGATTTTGCTTAGATTTTAATTATTTTACATGTTTTTATATTTTTCTTTAGTTAATTATTCTTAATTATTTGCAATGGATATTGACATCTGTGAGGGGAAAGGAGGGAGTCAACTGAGCTAGTTAAGCTCACTCTATTTCTTTTAAATGTTTTAGGTGAAGGAAAGGGTTCAATGGAGTATATCAGATTAAATGAGGATTATGTGTGCTTGGAGTCTAAGGTATTGATTTTGTAATCCAGTTTATTTATTCTAATGTATATAATTGAAACTTGACGAGATTGCGTATTTATATTTGATGAAGTGAACTTAATTATACTGTATTTGTATTTTGTAAAATTTTAGCAGCTATAGTTATTTTTATAGGTGGATGAGTTAATTAATATTAGGTTAAGTAGGTTGAGTCATTCCATTAGATCTTACGGTGTTACAAGTGGTATTAGAGCAACGATTTGAAACGACTGGAGATTTGTAGCCAGAGCTATAAAAAATGAATTGCATGAGTATGGGAGAGCAGTTTGGAGTCTAGTATATACTATTGTTTGTTAGTTGTGTTGTATAAATGAATTCTTCTATTTTATTTAGATTAAAGTGTTGTCGCATTGTCGACCCTCAAGAGTAAGAGGAAACTAATAAACAAAGTTCTAATCCAACTACAATATGTTAGAGTACAATAGGGGCGATGACATCTGATTTGATGATGTAGTTTACTTGGTTGATGGCCTAGTTAATTAGTGAGGCTCATGGTAGGCTGGTTGGAGTAAAGGGGGATAGAACTGATAAGTGTGATGTCACAAAACCTAAAGAAGAATTTAACCATAATTCTTTATCTTATCTTAGCTAATTACCCTAGTTTTCAGAATACACTTGAGCCAATTAATCATTAAGAATATATATATATATATATATATATATATATATACACAATAATTCAGATTTCAACACTTTTAATAAAACATAAATATAATATGGATTTCCAAAATCATAAATACCTATTGACCAGGCTTTCTTGCTCCCTATTAGCCCGAACCTAATAAATAGACTCTTTACATTTGCCTTTAAATCAAATAAGATTATTCCAATGCATAATAGAGAATTGAGAACGAAGAAGGTGGTATAGATCATGTTTATTTGATAAATGATCATTATTCATTCAATATTAGATATTACAATTGGACTGTTAAATATTAGTATTTAAAATTTGTTGATTGTAGCCATCATTAGTACAATAAGGTAGGTACCATTATAGATCATTAATAAACTCCCTAACTTTATCATCCGTTTCATGATCAAACAATCAATGACATTATTGCCAAACTTCTTAACTAGAGATTCCCCATTTAACTAAGGTCATAAAAGAAGAAAATATTTCTTTGGTTTAAGACCTTGACTGATAAGTGATGTATGTACTTCTAGCTTTTTTTGAAGAGCTTACAAAAAAATAGAGGCTTTATGAGTAGGATCGCTATGAGAGAATCATAAGCCTTTGTACATCATTTATACAAAATATTATCATTATTATACAACCTCTGAATAGTTTTGGATTTGCTGGTTTAAAGAGAATCAAGAAAGGGCAAGCCAATACCATCATATTTCTTAGAGGGAGAAGTAGTTTTCTAAGAAATTGTATATTATTTATTGTTATCCCCATTGAAATATAAGAAATAATTAATCAGGCTACTAATATTTTATTGTAATTGGTTTAGATTTATAATTTAATTTCTTTAGTTTAAGCTTTTATGTAGCATTTTGTGCTACCATTAGTGTTTATATATATGCTATAATTTGTAATAAGAAAAATATAAGAAAATCAATAAGATTGTTCTAGTTTTAGCTCTCTCTCTCTCCCCCATTCTCTCTCCTTCTCTCTCCTAAGAAGCTCAAAGGAACTTCTTCTTCGACCACAGTCGGAACCTCGCCGGACCACGTACCACCGGAGCCCGCCGGAGCCTCGCCGGACCACCGCCGTAGTTTCACTGCACCACCATCTCAAGGCCTGACGTTTAGGCCCGATGTTCAGGCCCAACGTTCTACTAAAGGTCCGACATTCAGGCCCGACGTTCTGCTAAAGGCCCGACGTCCTGCTTAAGGCCCGACGTTCAGTCCCTACGTCCTGCTGAAGACCCGAC